CAAGAAGAACAAATCGGCCAATACTGAATGAAATGAAGCCGGACTTCTCACTGGAGGCATTAATAATGAAGCTAAAGCTAAAATATTTCGGTCACATAATGCGAAGACAAGACTCACTAGAAAAGACCCTGATGCTTGGAAAAATCGAAGGCAGCTGAAAAAGAGGTCGACAGAAGATAAGGTGGCTTGACACCATAACTGATGTCATGGAAACAAACTTACAAGAACTGAAGGAAATGGTTACTGACAGACAAGCCTGGCGTAATAAAGTCTATCAGGTCACGAAGAGTCGGATTCGACTAAACGACTGAACAACAAGAAAGTACTTTACAAATTTAATAAATTTATCTTTGTTCTAGATTTACCTCGACATTTCACCGATCTGAAGATATGAATTTCGGTCGATGGCAAGTTTTCTTGGCGTTTCAGAAGGGTATATGGAGGGATTTAGGAAGATAATGAAGCCTTTAAGGGTTTATTATTCTACGTTTTTTTTACAGTGTAATAAACCCTTTAGGGTATGAGACAAAAGTAATAAACCCATTTTGGGTATTGAACAAAAGTAATAAACCCTTTGAAGGGTTTATGAAACGCTGCACCTTCATATACCCTTTAAGGGTATATTATTATACGGTTCTTTTTGCAGTGAAGCAGCTTTAAAGACAGATTAACTCACGCTTGAATACTCTTCAGAACAGGTTTTCATGTTTGAGTAACCTTATTATTATAGAGATTCTTCACCAATTTCACTATTCATGGTGCTAGTGGTGGTGACTTTGTTCAGACTGCACTTTGTTTAGGAAAAAAAAGCGAAAACATCTATTTGTTTGCTGATGGTCAGCCTATTGCTGCATTATTGTTAACCATCTAATCCTCTGTTCAGTCATCGAAATGGGCGACATCTGCAAATGTATACAGATGATTTTTTCACAAGATAGCACTACTCATTTGGACCATTCGAGTACATAACAGTTGTTAAGGATGAATCGCACCTGTTGAGTTAGTAGATATTTGTAAGCAAGTGTATTCGCCACAAATACCGTATTTTTTAATAGAGGTCGGCGGCATAATTGAATAAATATGTATCCAAAAGGAAAGAAATTATACTGCTATATATGCAGTATGTAGTATGTCTGTCAAGGGTTTAGGTCCCAAAAAATCACTTTGGTAGTTACTAATAATAGTAGAAAAACAGCTTTTTAAAAAATTTAATTTTGTGTAAGTTTTTTTTCGCAAACACCTGTATATCCTCATTGAAAGCATACCAGGAGCTGTTTTAACAGACAGGGTCGTAACAATCATTTTTTAGGATCAAATACTAACATCTTTTAGTGTTACTTAAGGCTGTATAAAATACTTACTTAAACATAATTAGCTAGATATCTAGTCGAGGGTCAAGCCAGTCTTACGACGAGCGTCACTTGTATTTATATAAATAGAATGAAAATAATTTAGATTTAAAATAAATATAACTTGTATTAATTTATATTTTTTTTAAATATAAATTACCAACTATTTAATTTACTCATAAATTAAATCAAACATAAATATAAATAGACACCCCTATCTTTGATGCGAATTAGCAACCGATAAAAGTCTATACTAAACCTTTGCAGTTTCAGTCTTTTGAAATAGAGAGAGGACCAATTTTATACACTATGCTTCTCGCTTTAATACTGAAATTTTCAATTCTTGACATGAACTTTTCAACTGTTATAACGTACACGATCACTAGAGCTAGCAAGCATAATTCTATAAAAACGAAAAAAAAAGATGAAAATCAGAAAAAACCGGTCGATTTCGAAGCTTCGATCGGATCCGGCCGGCAACCGACAGACCAAAACGGTTCGGTACCGGTTTTCCGGTCCAGTTACAACTATGATTGGGTTACATCTTCTAGCAAGAAGAATATTTAAATTATGAGGCACTAACCTTGTTTCATCTTATTGGTTATATTCCTGTGGAGATCACCGATTTGTATGCTTATTTTCTTGGATATAGCGCCAATCTCTTTCTTCCACTCAGCGGATACCTGTTCAATCTTGTTTTCCATTAAGGCAGTCTTGTTTTCCATTAAGGTAGTCTTGTTTTCCATCAAAGAAATTTTGTCTTGCATATTTCTTATTTCATCACGTAACTCCCTAATATCCGTCTAAATCAATTTTTATCTCATTAATATTTGCAATATTCTGAAAACTCTGAGAATCACTAATACCTACTTGATTCTTGAGATCGAGTAAAAGGCTTTTGATTCGATCGATTCGATCAGTCAGCCATATTTTTGACTTCCCGCCATTCTCGTCTGGTTTACATCGAAGAGGTAAAACATATACATTTGATCGCATTCGAACAAGCACAGTATTGGAGAAGAGTTTCGTGTTCGTACTCAACTTTCCGAGTTTGACAAGATGCGCGTTAATAGGACGGGGTTTGATAATGTCACCTTCGAGATATATGTTGTCAGACAAATAACGAAGAAGCTTGACTGCACCATGGCGACTCAAAATGTGTTGTTTCTCTGTGTCCTTATCCATTTTTGTCGCATTGAAATTGTTTGTGTTGGTTTTAATCTGATATAAACTATTATTATCTGTTCGACTGCTGCCTGATCGTTCTTTATCAATTCGTGTCGAGTTCAAATGATTTTGCGCATTGCCAAGTACGTTCAAACTGTGTTCGTCCGTATTTGTCATGTTCAACACGTCAGCGTTCGAAACTTTCCCGTGCTGTTTAGTACTAACGTCATTGTGACTATCGGAGCTCGCTGCTTGTGTCTGTGTTTGACTGTTGAAACCACCCCCAAAACTGAAAATATCGAGAAATCCAAATCCAATGTTGCCATCATCACCAGAGCTTTGAGAATTAGAAGAGGAACTAGATCGACTATGTGAGTCAAACAGTTTGTCTAACTGTCCGAAGCGTTGTTTGTCGTGGTGCTTCAAATGAACTCGGCTACCATGGTTATTTAACGAGCTGAGTTGATTGATATCGTGTTGACGCAAATCAGCTCGATCAATGCTGTGCCCTGATAAGTCAACTCCGGTTATATCATGTCGCGTGACGTCATTTTGAGACACATCATTCTGAGTTAAATAAAATTTTGATCACATCTTTTGCAGCCTGACGATCATAGATAAAGCCTTCACTGTTACCATCCTCTTTTCGAACTATGGTATTGAGAATTTTAGCAAGATGATCAGGTCGCGTCAATTCTGCAGTCCAATAGAGATTATCCCATAATTTATCATTCATTGCTTGCAGCCGGATCTGAAATCACAGAAAAAATATTATCATGCTGTTCTATCGATAAAGTGGTTTACAAGAAGATGAACTAAAAACAAGCAATATTTTCTGATATTTTCAGCGCCTTTGATAACAAATAAGTACTCAAGCTAAAACTTATTCCGAACTGTCTTTAGAATACAGTAATGAATTTTCGAAATGTTTATTTCGTATGGTTCAGAATGGCAGAATTAGGATGGCCCTGTTGACTTCTGGTAACATAGGGAATAATTGTATTTCTTGCGCTAAATGAGTATTTTTTGCACGTATTTTCATAAGAAAATACAAACACGAAATATCGAAGTAGTTTCGAAACATTCTGTAGTGATTCGATCCCTGTAACGTGTTCAGCTAGTATTTGATCACAGTTGGAATGTACAACCATCTTCTTCTAAATCGGAGTCATGAAATTTCGCTCTTGCTAGTTTTTTCTCTGTTTTATCAGAGTAACAAGAAGAATAGGATCTATAGCGGCAATTTTCTAATTACTCAAAAGACACTTCGAGTCAATGTGAATATTAAAATAATGGCTGTACCACGACATCAGTTTTCACATGAGACGTTTCTCATTTGTCCTTATTCACACAACAAACGCACAGAGAGCATAACGTGCCAATGCATTCATATCTTGATCCTCCTCTCATTCTATTTGCTCATCTGAAGATGAACGAGAATGAGAGTAGATGCAGCTATGTGGAAAGTTGAAAATAAGGATGTTGCCTTTTTAATTCGAATCAGAAAAGTCAATTTAGAGTAATCACTTCTGTTTTTATTTTATATGACCTCGTGGCCACTCAGTTCAAAGATATATTTTTCTCTTACGTACCTGTTGAGTAGATAGCTGCTGTTCGAGATGCTTGTCAATCGTCATTGGATCTTGCAGATTCTCGAATCCCTCTTGAATACGTAACGTCATCGTGATGCGATCTTTGGATTCGCTGAGTAGTTCTTTGAAATCGCCTCCTGTAAGAACCACTGTCTCTGCAGAAGGAAATTGAGCATGAATCCGATTATACATGGTTGTACTTGTCACGTGTTCCGTAGTGACTTCTAGTTGCTTTTGTATTGTCTGTTGACCGTACAATGAATAATGGACTTCGAAATTTGGTAATCGACATCGTTCTGTAAGACTCTTGCGCAATTTTTCACATTCAGCCATGTTCGATGCATAAATAATGAATTCCATTGATTGAAGAAGGAGTGTGGCCGATTGCCAACTATCTTCAAGTGTATACTTCTGACGGGTACTCATTGAATTTGAAGTCTTTTGAACAAGTCGAATAGAGTTCATTGGCAAGAGAGAAACATCGCACAAGAAATCTGATGTGGAATTTCCACATAGAGATGGTTGATTCTTATAAAGATAGTGTTTTATGGCTTGTACGAGGTGTGGTGTGTACAGTTCGACTTGAAGTCCGAGTTCAGTACGATTATTAAACTCATTTTCATAACAATTCGTTTCATCAGGATCAGCATACGGAAATGGTGTAAAGAAAAAATTCGTTGGCTTCTGTTGATTCTGAGCAATCATGACTTCACCATCTCGATATTTGATTCGGCCGATATTTTTTGTGCTTACTTCAAGTTGGAAAATGCCACCACTATTAGAAGACGAAGACTCTTGCTGCTCAGCACGAGTTGCTATCATTAGCATAAAGAGAATAAACGAAATATACATTCTCCAAAAATGGTAGAAAAATATGTTTTGCGTATTAAAAAAAGAGCGGCTATATAAGCTCTTGACTTCCTTGGAAATTTCTTAATTCTATCAATATATCAATATGTTTTATCATCATGTAATCAATATAGTATCAAATATCGCTGCTTTGCTCTTTCTCTCAGTATTTGCTCGAGACGTTATTAAATAGATAAGAAACACAGCAAAACCGATGAGGATAGATAGTACCATTGAAGCATGTCATACCATCGTAACGAGTCGAGTTACGAAGTTAGTAATGTTAGTCGACTCTTCCTGAAAGATAAGATATTGAAATGCGTCTTGCCTTTCTAGATTCGATTTAGTAGCACATAGTAGATGTTTTCGATTTCTTCCAACATAGACTTCAACTAATTCAGCAGTGGCGGAATTCAGACTAATTATATCTAGCGGCTATATGTACGGGATTCAAAAAGGTTATTCTTATCATACTATTGTATTAAAGAAAATGAATTTCTTTTCTTTGAACTTTATTATATGAAATGTTAATTTAGGACACGATTAAAGGGAAATTATTTATAAAAGTTCGTAAATTTTTATGTTTCAAGAAAGAAATATTATTCAAAAATGTATTGTTTACTTAGATAAGAGGATTGTTACTTTCTACTAATACATTCGATTTATTTATGTCGAAAGTTATTGTTCACCACTCGATTTTTTCATTTGAAAAATAATCAACTTAAAAGAAAATGTCATCCTTCGAATTTCTATTTTTCAAAAAAAAATAAGAATCTTGCTGTTAAAAACTTTTCTTTTTGCATATTATACTTCAAAAAGATGAAATAAAAAGATAAGTCAACTGAACGAAAATGATTGCAATCTAATCCCACGGTCGAACGATCCGATCCGTATAGTGGGCGCAATAATACGGACCGTTTTTATGTCGTAAATATCCGTGTAATAACCGTATAGAATGGAAATACGGCACCGTTTACGATGCCGTATTACTGCACCCGTGATTACGGTTAGGTACGGTTCATTTACAACCGTAAACGTGCCGTTTTGTCACTATGGTCCGTAAACGTACTGTAAACGGATCCGTTTTGACTGACCTGGGGAAACACTCGATGATTCAATCGTTATTATCACTACTGATTCAATAAACACATTTTCCTTAACTTGAATTAATGTAAATCTAAGCAGATTAAAATTGAGTCTTAATCAATTTTTATCGATTGGAGTGCATTTTGATAATAAAGAAAGAAAAAAAAACCATTCAAGAAATAAATAAATGCATGTTATTAATATTAACAAAAAGATAGTTGCCTTAAAAAAGTCAACTAACTATGGAATTGAAATAATTCATCTTCGATATAGATGCAAGTATTCTTTTTGTTGGTTGAGACGTGGGTTCGAGCAAGATTTATATTCATTTGTTCAAAATCTTTTTTATCACAATTGTTTTACAAAAAGCTCTTCTAGAGTTGCAACCGGTAACGGTAAACGGCCGGTCCGGTCCGGTCTACACTGGGGAAAAAATAGTACCACACGGAACCATTTTTGAAACGAATTCTAAACCTTCAAAAACGTTTCGTAAAACCCCAAGATAGTCTCAAAATGATGATCAAGAGTCCAGGAAACTTTTTCGAAGGTTTTGTCGAAAACATACAAAACCTAACAAAGGTTCAGAATTCGTTTCAAATCTCGAAACCATTGTTTAAGTTTCGTAGTATCTGCGAAACCATTTTAAAATTCAGTGAGAAAATTCGAAACTTTCTTGGTCCCGTGCGATGCTATTTTTTTTTTCAGTGTGGTTTTGAGTTCGCTCTATGTATGGTTAGGTAGAGCTAATTGAAGTATGATAAACTCTGGAAAACGATCTCTCATAAGCCATCTTTCGAAATTGATATATGCTTTCCTTGAATTTTAACATATATTACTAAACGTATCGGTAAATTGAATGAAAGTATTTACATAATTATATATATATATATATATATATATATATATATTTATTCATTTACTTATAAATGTATATACAATTCACATAAAAATATATTTATTTATTTAACTCTACCTAATCCAATCCAATCCTATTGAACCAAACCTAGTGCAATCCCACCCAACCCAACCCGCTACTAATCTGAAACCCCAACCTCAGTTTTACTTCTCTTTATAATAAGACAACTAGTATATGGCTATTTTCAAAAACCTTCCATTGAATTTCCCATCGCATGGGAAGGGTGTGGGTGGGCGTGAGTCTCCGCTACCAAATCATCCACACCCACACCCACCTTCAGAGGTTGCAGCATAATATCTGGGGCACGTTTTAATGCTTTTCATTTGTCTCGTAAATTTTCAGTTTTTTATTTTTGCTATTTAAACAACGTGATGGAGATTCTACAGAGAAACCTTTTAATGTTAACCAATAAAACAAAACACATCGGTGAATCAAATTGAAGTTATTGACATTGCTATTGGTGAAAATTACGGCATTTAATTTTGTCCTTCCATCTTGACAGTTAGTATGTGTCACATTCTGAAAGCATGAATGAAAACTAGACCTGAATATTTTATTTTTAATTTTCCTCATTTAGCTAGAAGAATGTTTTACAGATGTGCTTGTTTTTATGTTATGCATTGTGTAAGGAAGAAAAACTTCGAATCAAACGAGTAACGCAGTTAAGAGTATCCATAGATACAACTCAGTGAAAAATTTTGTCAGTGTCAATATTGAATGAACATATATGAAGGAAAATAAAATAAATATTCTTTGTTGAAAGTAATTAAACAATAATTAACACTTGAAATCCTACAAAATAAAATGTTTGAAGAGAAACAATACATTAATTGATCTTTGAGAAAGAGAGAGATAGAGAGGAAAACATTAGTGTTTATATTTAATCGATACTTTCACGATTCAACTCTCAAAATACTTAAATACAACTGATAAACGATAGCACATAAAATTACTAAATCACATCGACAAAAAATCGATTATGTCTGTATGTTACATATCGGAGAATGGATAAGAATGAGAAGTTCAATATCTTTATTCTATAGGAACAAAGTAATTCTAATTTCGAAGATATTAGTAAATGGACATTACAAAATGAATCAATACAAGTAAGTGAAATTGGCATTATTGCTTCGTTTTGTTCATGATAACGAGTAGAAAATCTCCTCAATTCTTGAACTCAATAACGACAAATAAATCTATCAGATTGCTGGTATAGGTAAAAATGCTCCAAGGTTAATTTTTATAGCTTCCCTTAGATCGAGAACAATTCCCTTCTTGTCTTTCTTTTTTTTATCAAAAAATGTCGATGACATATTGTATTGTTCATTGAAATCTTGGGTATTTACAGAGTTGACAATCTTTTTGCTTCGCGATAAAAGATCAAAGAATCCCATGTAGGTTCAGGCTGTCACACGGGTTTGTGAAGTGTCTAATGAAGATGCAATATTTACTTTTTTTTATACATTGGTGTTTGGTCAAAAAACTTAAAACAAAAAGAGAGAATTCTGTACAATAATTTGAAGTAATCTCTCAATACATACTCCCATAGTATCTTCTGTTATGAATAGCAACGCCAAATACCATCAAATATCCTTCAGAATATATCACAACTGCTAACAATACCAACAACGAACCCCAATAGGTTTGTATCTGTTAGATTTTCATCATGTAATTGATGACTTTGTTTTAATCTATATAGCATTGAATGGACGCATATCTTCTTAATAGTCATGGGAGCTATTGTTAGAATAAGTCTTGTGGTTGCAGCTGTTATTTTAATTATATTTTTGACTAGAAGTAACACATTAACTACAACAGGTATATAATTTTCAAATGAAACAACGAGTAATACTATATTGTGTGTAATGTTTGTGTACTAATCCAATAATAAGTAAGTCCCTCCAAAAATGACTGATATACTGCAGCAGAAAATCTTCCCGACAAGGGAATAAATATTTTTCTCATTTTGCTAAATTTGTATAAAGCGCTAATCTTCTGAATAAAAAAGCTTGTCAAATGAGTTGTGCATTGCTGCCCGATAGAATTGATTGTTGCTAGTAGCATATTTTAGTTCGCCACTGTAAATCTGCTTTGAAAGATTTTTCTGGTTTGCGTTATTTATTTCCAAACGTGGAGAAATGAATTCAGATGAAGTGAATATCTCGAGCCAGTTCCCGACAGTATTTTGACAAAAGTTAACATAATATTTAGAAACCAAAACAAAAGGACTGTTAAACCACTAGCTTTTCTTTGCTAGTAGTAACGCATCAGTCATACACTGGTCAATTAGCCAAATTGAGATTAACTATAATTTAATTAATAGGTACTGCTTCAACTACATTTACGGTTACAACCATCACTACAGCGATGACTACGACCATGGCTACAAGTTCAAATCGTAAGTCTTACGGCCCAGGTGACCAAAAGACTAGTAAAAAGACTAGTCTTTTTTCTAGACAAGTCGGCCGTCCAGTCTAGTCTNTACGGACTAGTCACAATAGATGTGGAAGACGTATTAGACTAGACTTGACGGGTATAGCAGACTTTTTGGACTAGTCATGCCGCCCGTCCTCCCTATTTTTTTGCTCACTTGGGGGATCACTGTAAGAAATAAAAGGCGTAATTTTTTTCTGAAAAGTAAACAATTAAACCCATTGAAGATTGAATTCAATGTGTGTTCAAACCAAGGGTGAAGAAGAGAAGGAGTAAGCACTCCAGTATTCTCGCTTTTTCTCCCTAGAAGAAAGGATATTGCAGTCATATACTAGAAATCTAAAACTTAGTGTATCAAGAAAAATGAATCCTCTTGCCCTAAACGTGCTATAACTCATGATAATTGGAAATATAAAAGTTCATCTGAAAAACGAAATATAGATTTCAAAATCGAAGCTTCTATCTATGTTGAACAAGAGACGAAGACATTTCACGACTCAAAGATCACAGAATAGCAAGAATTTCGTGTACTCATTTGGAAAGATAATTTGACAGATATATTTTTCAACAGATAATAGCAGATGATTTCTGTTCGTTGAACATTAGAACTGTTTGATGCCTCTCTTTCAATTTAAGATTCCAATAACGACAATCCTGAAATAGTAAAACTCATATTTTTAATTCTTTCTCTAGGCTTAGTTTCTGTAAAAAAAAAAGTTATGTATTGAGATTTTAGAATCCATATGAACATGACTAATTCGTTAATATTATAGTATAGGCCTAAAATTAGTGTCGGATAAATGACTCGAATAACTCATAAGACAAGATCCCTTCGTAGTCTTCATAATAAAATTATTTCGTCATGTTTCTTACTAGATACTACATGTAATCTCTTTTTCGCAACGGCAGCTACATATACTACTGGCAGTGGTCCGTGGGGAATGTCTATTGCCGATTTCAATCGAGATAATCGACTTGATATAGTTGTTGCTAACTATATCGCAGGTACTTTAGATATATTTCTAGGACTCGGTAATGGGACTTTCATGAGAAGAATGACACACGCGTCGGTTTCTCTTTCATATGCGACAGCCGTTGGAGATTTCAATCAAGACAATCAAATAGATGTTGTTGTAGCGAATGCTGGCGAGAACAACGTCGCTGTATTTTTTGGTTATGGGAACGGAAATTTTACATCGAGGACACTATTTTCTGTTGGTGTATACCCCGTCGCAGTCGTTGTTGGTGATTTCAATCAAGATAATCGACTTGATATTGCTAGTGCCAACCATAACGATGCGAATGTCAGTGTCTCATTGGGTTTTGGTAATGGTAGTTTTGGTCCGCAAAGCACCTTTGCAGTGGGTATCAGCCCGTTCACAATCGCTACTGGTGATTTTAATCAAGATGGTCGACTTGATCTTGTTACTGCCAATTATAATAGTCATACTGTGAGTGTCATCCTCGGCTATGGTAATGGTTTATTTGCATCACAGACAACAATTGCGACTAGTAATAATCCGTATTCTGTCGTAGTCGCTGATTTCAATCAAGACAATATACTCGATCTTCTTGTTACTACAATTTCTGTCAGCAGCATCACTGTGTTTCTCGGTCGAGGCAACGGGAGTTTCATGTTGTGCAGTACCTTTAATTTACCTTCTACAAGTCCATACGTATCTGCTGTTGCTGATTTCAATCGAGACAACCTATGGGATATTGCTATTCCTTATTATACCGCAACAATTATAAGTGTCCTAGCTGGTTTTGGTAATGGCACATTCGGAAAGCTTTTATTACTTTCCGGTGCCAATAGGCCAGGTATTGTAGCAGTAGGCGATTTTAATGACGACAATCGTACTGACTTTGGCGTAGTTAACTACGGTAGTTCAACTTTGGGAATATATTTAAATACTTGTACATAAACGTTTCATTCGCTTGAACATCTAGAAAACCTATTTATGTAGCCTCGTATTAATGTCAAGCGGAGACTTTTATTTGCATAGTCTCTCAATAAAATATTATTAACAAGATTATTTTCTGTGTGTCTGTATGCCTGAATGAACAATTAAAAGATTCAGTTTTCCTTTCTTTTAATTACAATAGAAAATATTTATTTAAAAAAAAAAAAATAACTCAGACAAAACTGATATGCTGAGCATAAATATCGTGATAACTTGATGAATTAGTATCTTTGACCTCTTGTCCCTCACTTTTATATCGAACATGACCCATTTTTTTCCATGGATTTTCATTTGACACAGGTAAATTAGATGAACATATATTCATAGATCTTTGTTGTGTAGTCGAAAGTAGATCCATTATTTCAGCATCTTGTGAAGACAATAAATTTTCTTGACGTTGTCGTTCACTATGTTTTAATGTATTATTAATAAGTGAATGTTTACCATAGGAAGCATCGGTTTGTGTCATTTCATCATTGATATTTAATGCACAATCATCTAATTTCGAATTGCAAAATGTTACTTCTGTTGTACAGTCTATTGGTGTGAATCGTTGTTGATTATCACTAATAGTTCGTGTTAAGCATGAACCAAGATTATTCTTTTCATTTGAGTAGCGACCCGATATTTGCTTAGTTGATAATCTTGGTTTAAATTTATCAGGATTATTTTTGGACGGATTAAAAAGAACAATATGTAATTTTGGTGCAAATAAACAAATAAGTATAATAGTGGCTGATAAACTCAAGCAAATTGCAAGAGTAACAAATTGTATCTAGAACCATAAAGAAATATGAAGAACAAGTTTCTAATTTATAACTTACACGAAACCAATTGTCACTACTTCTTAGACCGAAAAAAATTGGTATAAATGCTAGCCAAATGATACATATTGAATACATAGCAAAACCGATATGTTTAGCTTCATTGAAATTTTCCGGTATATGTCTTGTTTTAATGGCATAAAGTGTACACGAAATAACCAATAACATATTATAAATTAATGAGCCAGCTATATATTCATTGTCCGTTTGACATACTAATATCAAACGTCTTTGATTATGTTTTACTTCTGATTTTAATTTAACCGACGGCGGAGATATTAATATCCACAGAAGAACTCCTATTAATTGTACGCTAACAATACCTGTACATATACCTAATTGTGAACGCGGCGAAAGACATGATATTTGTGCTATACGTTGTTTATTATTAAATATGCGTGCTAAACGATTTGTTTTTGTTAGTAAAGCAGCAAGACATATTGTTAAACTTAAACTAACACCAATGCGTATAAAAAAGCATGTTAATATATTTGGTTTAAGAATAAGTGGCCATGCGCATAGATGGCAAGCACATATACCAGATAGAAGGAAAAAGCTTAATTCACGTGATGATGCTTTTATGATTGGCGTATGAGAAAATCGCATAAATACAGCAATAGTATAAATAGCCATTAGAAGACCAATGGAGGAAAGTACCAAGGCTGGTAATGCTATAGAATTTTCTATTGATAAATATTCTATATCAATAGGTATACATTGAGTAAAATTTGTATTAGGTGCTTCTTTCTCTGAACACGAAATACAAGTTGTTTCATTCACAGCTATTTGAAATATATCACATGTACGACATGTCCAACAACATTGTTGAGAATCTGTACTTGTACGTATTTCACCTGAACGACATGGTTCACTACAAAATGATCGTGGCGTAAAGTTTGTTTCGGACCACGTCGAATATTGCTGATTATATTGAAACCATTTTAATTTTTGAAGATCAATACGAATTCTATTTTAAATATATAAATATTTGTCGTTTTCTATCAATAGATTTTTATTTGAAATAAAAACCTGAATTTAACGAATGACAATTTCCTCATTGCGCCGGCATATATATATATGGCTTAAATGAACCTGTTAGCGAAAATCACCCCCGATTGGGACAGTTTTAGCTTCAATTATTTGTTTTTGTTAGATCAATATTTCTTAGATATGCTAGATGTTCAAATAGAATTTTCTGATTCATTGAAGCGAAACTGACATGATTTAGCGTTCATAGAAAGATGAACACAACCGAACTGTATTTTAAATTTTATTTCATATCAACACGTCTAATCAATTATATTAACGCTGTTTGATTTTTCAATCTTTTTAATTTCATAAGGCCGAAATTTCCTTAATTTACACTTAGAAGATTTAATTACTAATACTTTTTATAGAATTATAGGCTTCGATGAGTTTCATTTTTTGATACACGATTTGTACGTTTATTATCATCTAAATATGTTCGTTTCTTTTTTCATAGAAAAAACTCATTATTAGATTCTAATGTAGACACGTCATATTACTATTGATTAAAAAAAGAGAAGTCGTGTCACATCGGATTCAATAATTCACGAAAGCAAGCAGATATAGACAGACAATACCTTTTAACTCATAGACAAGTACAGGGCATATTAAACTATGGGACAAATTTCTTCAGTCAAATGCTCAATGGAATCTTTAGACACAAAATCAATAATAGGTATTAAATTGTTAACATCATTTTGCAGTACACATGATTGTTTTTATTTTTGAAATTTTTTATAGTTTCCAATGATGAATAATCAATAATTTTAGATTGTACCATCAGAAAATATGGTCAAAACAGAATTAGCCAGTATACTGAATTCAGGATAAATTATATAACAGTAAAACTTTAAAGTACTGCATTGACTTCAAACATTTGGAGCGCAAGAATAAGCAAAACATCATTGCATCAAGTAAAGAAACACTACGATGCTAATTAACATGAAGTGAGTAGTACGCTACATATTCTTTTCATTCTAATCTAACGTACATATGACTGAATCCACTATTCTATTCTCTAGTGATTAGTAAATGACTTGATATTAGAAGTAAATGAAATTCAAAAAATTGTACTGCTCAAAATTTGAAATTCCAAGATTGGAGATAGGAGCAATTTCGTGTAACTATAATTAATAGGAAAATTTTGCTACCAGTTAAAAATTAAATTTGATACCGAGCAAAGATATGTTTGTTCAAAAACTGAATATTTTATATTTATTTCTAGTCAATAGAAAACTTTTTCGTACCTTTCATTAGTAGCATCGCTATCACTATATTCTCCAATAGTGACATAATCAAGCCTTTCAGTTGGATGAACTATTTGATATTGGAATATTTCATATACTTCAATGCCATCGCCGGATTCCGTAAATTTAACATTTCGTCTTGATAAATCTATAAAAATAATTATTTGACATAAAATATATCTAGTTCAATAAGTATATGTAGCTATATGTATATATGTACCATTACGAAATGAAATATTCCGTAAAATTGTCAATAGTCTTGTTCCATCAAATGGATAGAATTCATTACAAATCGGTTGGATTGTAGACGAATTTAAACATTTTTCATCTATTAATTTTTGTATAGCAATAACCAGACTAAAAACGGCATCGACGACATAATGAACATAACCTTCTTGAAAATAAGGCACAGCAAAATTTTCATATGCACTATCAGGATCTATGAAAAGAAAGTTTTATGTTATCAAATACTAATAGAATCTCATTTAATTCAATGATTAGCAAAAGAACAATGGCCAAGTGAGCAAACTTAGGCATTACAACGAAACAGAGATTACTGTGAATGTATCCTATCTAAATTGTACTATTAGATTCAACACCAATGGAATAGATTCTATTCGTGTGAGAACCACATACAATTGACTAATCAACCTATACTAAAACAAAAATAAACATTGTCGATCTTCAGAGAAACTATTCAATTGTAATGTGGAAAATTTCATTGAGAGTCTATCGAAATAGGATACTATGAAGCTTAAATCGAAAATTTTTCATTCGTCAACAAACAAACCTGAACATAAACGTGTATAATTTTGATTGAATATTGTTTTTGATGTATGTTCAAATTTACATTTATACGTTTCTTCCCAATATTCAACAAACCAAGGATTACGAGTGTTTCTAGATGGCGTCAAATTTTTGAAATATTCATCAAATTCTAATATGTAGACAAGAGAATATTCTCAATAAGCAAAAATAAAACAAAACAAAAGAACAATTACCTGAAATTAGATATAATTTAGGAGCAATCGTAATAGCATTGATGGCTGCTCGTCCAAAATTTTCCACTGGATACCATTTTTTACCCCAACCATCTGTTCCGAGAAAGATCCAACGCCCATTAAATTTACTTTTTGATGATGTTTGATTTAATATTTGCCTATAAAACTCATTGATTTTTAAAATAAATTAAAACATTACTTTACCTAACAGAATCTTCCTGTGCAAAAACCACTACACCCATAACAAAACGATATCTTTCATCTTCATATAATTCTTTTATAACGCGTACATATGAATTAGAATCTTTTATATTCACTGATAATTCGCCCGCAATACAAATAGCTACGAACATAGAAATAAAAATTACTCGTTTCCATTCCGTTCACGATGGTTTACGGGGAAAAAATAATACTTTTTTTTTTAAGCTTTGCTTTGAAGTCATCTGTAAGGCGTTCACCATAGGAACCGGTTTCCTTAATAACAGCAACATACGTCCAATTGAGAAATTGAATAATGCTAACTACCTTGAATGGAAACAAATGAAAATTAACATTCAAATAATAAGAAAGATTAATGCCAACTTACAGCTTCAGCTTGATATGTGTCGGGTGGAACAACACGAGAAAAAAATTGAAAGCGTAGCTTTTCGCTTAATTCTGTGCTTGTTGAAGCATAAGATATTTGTGGAATCTGTTCACAGAAATAAATCGATGTGTCAACTGTATTGAAATCATATTCTCTAATTGATTCATACGCTCATCAAGCAAAATTCAAAGAGAAAAGAAAATTTTTTTCAGGTGTCACGGATTCATTATATACAAAGAGTCTCAAAACCGGAAGTATCGCTTTGTGATTGCTGAAATGTTCTCTCACTAATATTTCAAGGCAAAATTCTTATGTAAATTTATTCATTTTTTTCTTCATAAGAGAATAAAAGCTGTTAATGTAGCTAATTCAACATTTGAATAATGACAATATAGTTAAAAGCATTTTAATATAAAAGAAAAGAAAATCATTTTCTCTTTCAATTGACTCATGTTTACCTCAGCTAACCGAAGAATATCTGCTATGGCCATTGATACTATACTCGATGCACTACCAATAACGCCGGCAACCAAAGGTGATTGTTTTCGTTTATCCATTGATGAACATTGATTAATAGATGGCAAAATCATATTTAAAGCACGTTCAATAGCATAAGCCTCATAATCACAAGAATCATAAATAATTGCACCGAATCGAATTTTACTATGAGCAAGTAGTGATGACATTAATTGCGATGTTCGTCTATTAACTACATCTAATGCGAATAACATTGCTTCAAGACGTTGAATGCCACGTTCTCGTTTAATTGCTGTACATTGCATTGATCCAAATTCATTTGATGGTGGTTGATGAATAGGAAAAAATCCACCGAGTAAAATATCTCCTAATTTCGTTTTTATATAAATCGATGAATTATAAAGTAAAAACAAAATACAAAACAAAAAAACCTTTTGCTACCTGGAATGTAGATGTATTCATAAGATGGACTATGTGCTGCCAGAAATTTTGGTGGATACTGACAAGTATACGTTAGATTATTAAGATCATTTTGATAACAATTACCATTTTGTATTAAATTCACAATCAATATTACGATGATAAATAATAACACTTTTAGTGACAGTAAAGTGATGAGCATTGACAAGTGTAAACACAAGTACGCATATAGATGTATACATACGATCCCTTTCGAACTTTACCTGCTGTGTCTATAGCAATTATTTGATTAATTGCAATGAATGAGTACTCATAAATTGTTAGAAAAATAAGTCATTGAAGCATTCACGATGAGACGTATATTGATCGTCAAAAGAAAAGAAAGAATTGACTAAAAACTTGTCGACTCAAGACAAGTAAACGGACGACAATGATGATAACGAGAGAAGGCGATTGGCTTTCTCTCTCTCTCTCTTTTATCTGCTCTGCTTTCTCTTATTCGCCCGGCATTGTAGAGTACCAACAATAATCACGCTCGCTTGGGCGCTCTCGTACGCACATAAAAAGGAGAAAACGGAACAGAAGCAAAACAAGAAGAAAACGCGTAAGAGACAAAAAGAAAAAAGAAAAGTGAAAAAATGCCTGACTAATAACAAGATCTCTTTGACTTGTCTGCAGGTGTTTCCCTTCGTTAGCTCTTATTGATAAAAATGTCAGATACTCAAGTAACTCATCTTTAACAATCAGGCTCATTTTATTCTCATGGTCCATTTCGTCTTTTTAATATCATGGTATAACTTTAGTGATCCTACAATGACATACACATGCAAGATAACTTCTAATTTATAATGACTTTAAAGCATTTTCTTTATGAATAATAAGCTAATAAAAATAATTACATAAAATTATTGAAAAAAAAATGAATTGTCACTCATTATCAAACAATGAAACCCTCTTTTAATTTGACAAATATATAACTATAGACAGCCGAGTTGTTCTATGAAGATTAGAACACTTTTTTCTTTTTTTCTTGCGTGTCTTGTAAAATCTCATAGATTAGTCAAATTGAAGATTAAATGAATAAATTCAAAACCATAATTAGTAGTACTTAGGTTTTATCATGCACAATTGACATATGCATTTGATAACAATCTGTTTATTGTCAGAATCAAAAGTCAAGCAAATATTATTTCTAGTTTCTAATACGATATGAGGGGTGCCCAAGGACTGAAGATTAGGAATTCCTCATCAGTTCCGCTACAGTTCCTTGCATACTAAAGGTAAAAATATGGAATATTCATGATAATTTTGGTTCTTACACTCATTTTCACTTGAGAAATTGTGAAAATCAATGATTTCACGCAAAAATTATTTTTAAAACAGCAATATCGTAACTTTCGTGAATGGTGGAACTGTGAGGGAACTTATAGTTGATTCCCATTTCCTCTAGGAATTATCACAGCGGCACTGACAATTCCTCGACACATTAGGAAGTCCTATTTCTCAGTTCTTGGACACTGTTGGCTTTGCCGAGAAATTCTTGTATATTGTTCGAAATAATAATTATATTTCCTTTTATTTGTATCACGAACAAATCGAATCTATTAAAACTGATCATATTCATCTATTTTCATACTCGACAAAAGAAAACATGTCTTTGATTTTGTTTCACCATGATGAATGCTTTATTCAATGGCTTTGTGGTAGATTGTACTCGAATCGATGATTTATTGATCAGAGACTTTGATTAAACCACACAGACGGTAACCTGACAAAAATATATTCAAACCGAAGTGATTCGTTATTTTTTATGACAAAAAAGTATTTTGTTTGAAAATCGCTTGATAAAATTATATTGAAAAAAGTTAATCTCATCTAATCAGATCGAACTAGTCTCAATTGATTGTTTCTCGGCAATCACTTGAGTCTCTAAAGTATTAGAAAATCATCTAGCTACAAATAGTTATTTGAATACGATGAAATCGAATGCATGCTGTAGAAGTCTTTTCTTGCTTTAGCCCCACATAGCGAGACCAATAAGAATTTATCTCAAATCTGATATAATGAGTTTATTTAGAAGAAGAATCCTTATTGTATAGACTACTGGTATATACACGCTCACGTCAATACAAACGAAGACGAAAATAAAAGAAACTAAAATAGACATATTTCTTCGAGTCAAAATCAAGCCAATATGTAATAAAAACGATGGACAGCACGTATCGATTGTGTACTTAATTGATAGTACGCAAGAAAAAAAGAAATAGTGACAAGAAAGAATGTGAGAACTTTCAATCATTATCTCAAGTGAGGTGAAATAAGACCTTGAAGTTAATGCAACGATGAAAGAGATGATCCATCGGCAAAGAAAGACATACAAACAAACACACACACACACATACACACACACACATATATATAGGAAAATATTCCTTCTCATCAAAGAAGGAATAACATAACTTTGGTGCTGTGAAGTACTCATGAAGTATCGTACTCCATGGTGATTGAGTTGCAGTTTTATTGCTTTAGCACCCATATATTAAATAGAATAGAAGGATATACTTTGCTAAAGTACTCTCTTAAAAAATGATTTGCATCTATGCCAATGAAAAAGATATGCTGAAGAAGAAAAACTCGGTCGTGTATAAGCTGATCGGTACGCTTAATTAGGATTATGTGAAAAGGTCAAAACGAAAAATAAAATGCTTCACATCATACGTAATATTTGATTTTTTTTCTTTTTTGCTGCTTTAACGATCATACAAAAATTTGACTAGTCTAGGAGTAACTTTAGTTTTAAGTTAAGAAAAATTCAATCTTAGAAATGAATTGTGTTGCCAAATTTTCCCTTATGATAAATAGTTACTCGAACTAGCATGAATAGAATTCAAACTGTAGGACAAGATAAAGTTCATCAGCATACTATGATAGAAAAGCCAAAACAAGGGAATATAGAGAATCGAAAAACAACTATTTATTTTGAAGTTTTAAAAGTTTGATGTTGGGCAAACAATGTATTCTATCAAGCCTTTTCATTTCAAGAAAGTAAGAATTATTTCTTAGAACATTGTTCAGCTATTTTAAGAATATAAGGTTCTCTTATCAATCATGTTCAAATCTATATTTTGTCATATCTCATGCGTGTGGTGTCTTTCAACTTTTATTTTTTGATGTCTTTCCATTGATCTGTACAAATAAAGATATAACATATATAACTCATTCAAAATTTGATCGATGACTGAAAAAAGAAACAATGTTGTTGATTGATGATCTCACCTATTTCTACAAGAAAAGGATTAGACGGCGCTTGTGAAGTTTTCTTTAAACTCAAATAAAAGAAAGAAATGATATCAATATTTTGCTCTGTCTACTCAGACAATTCGATTATTATTATTATAAAGATCTTGATATATGCTAGGATCAGTTTTTCTCCTGCTTTCGAATAGACTGTGGCACGCTTAATAAAATAATACAATTTTCTCATTGAAACTATTAAAATAGTTCTTGCGGAACTAGGATGTAAAAGATTTTCTTGCATTGTTTTGCTTAAATTTTTATAATATTTGCTAAAAAATCTACAAATTAATAATTATGCACGCTTACAATAATTTTATCAAATGTTTTTTAACCATTCTAATTGAATCATGGTTGACAACAGTCTGTGAATTATCGACATGAATTTTTATTTTCAAATTTCAGGAATCGTTTTATCCAAAGTCAAATAAAATTAGTTGTACAATATTAAGAGCTATAATTTTTCATCAACGATTCATGATTGCACTAATAAACTCTATTCTTTTTTTCTTGAAGTGTTAGAAAATGTTTTGTATTTAGTCACACTTTATCATAGTAATTTCCATCGAGCTTGTCACTCTTTTCTTCTACTTATATTAAAAATGTGCCAGAATTCATGTATGGTTAATATCAATAAATATGGAAGAGTATATCTAGATTTTTTTTCTTCTATCAGAAAAGAGAAAAAACAGCTCGACAACATTAAATGAAACAAATGTCATTTAGTGACGTTTCAAATAGTTAAGCAAACGACTGATTTTCACTTGTGTTGTCAATTATTTCTCTAAGTTGGTAAGTGATCAAGTTAATATTCTTTGAAATTAAGTCATTCACAATCAAACCGCGTTTAATCAATAAAAAAAGGTATCGTACTCTTAAAATAAGCAAAAATTTTCATAGGCGTTTGAAGAAACTTTCTACCGGTTTTCATGAGGAATCTCCTCTTTTTTTTACATTTACAGAATGATATTAATCATAGTACAATCTACGTAAATATTATAGAATTTCACGATTAGAATAGCGTTTTTATTCATTCAAGATTGAGACTATACAAAGATACAGTTTTATTTTATCATTTAATAGCCAAAACATATTCTATCGACGTCTGTCATAATGATGTGGTGGACTTCGACTACGATCTTGACGATAATGAGATCGATTATCATAATTATTGTTGCGATAACGATTTGATTGAAAACGTGGTTGATTTCGATAATTGTTTCTAGTTTGACCCCAATCTGGAACTATAGGTGGAGTATTAGAGCGTGGTTTAGCCATTTTAATATATTCTTCATCTTCATCAGTATATCGATTAGTAAAAAGTTTATTTAGTTCAGCAAGTTCGTCGGTTTCAGACGATTTTCCATTTTTATTTTCAGCTTTTGTTGTCGTCATCTAAAAAAGACAAGAATCAATCTTTAGTGGCTATTTTTTGAAATGCAAAGCAAAAGCTGATACATAAAAATGGTTCACATCTTTAAAAAAGCATAGTTCAACTAAATAGATAGTCTTACGATTGGCCTCTCTAAAATTCGAGTACACTTCCATTCAACCTCGTCCACTTGCAAAAGTACTTATTGAGATTTATTCGTCCCTGCAGGGCTCGTATCGGGATTTAAAAAGAAAAACTTAGTTGACTATACACTTAACAACATTTTCCTTCAATCTTTCTTTGTCGGTTGCAATCTATTGTCAATTTATTTGAAATAAGTTTATTCGGTACCTCTTCTTTTTTTCTTCTTGCAACTGTGACTATGCACAATTAACTCATCGTTTTTTGTCGTTCTTTTTTGTGGCTATACATTATAGACATTATACTTGACAACGATATCTACAGTCAACAATGTAATCTATCATCGAAGAAAAGAACTAACATACGAATCATTTTGTAACTAATAGAAAAGAAAAGTGACATGAATCGTAAAACGAAATTAACATTGGGTCGTCAAGAAGATGAAATATTTATTCCATCAACACATCCAAGCACACAAGATGATGTTAAACAATTAGAAGAACGTTTTCATATGCAATTATACAAAGAGCTAGCACTTGAAAATGGTTTATGTCCTAAACGACGTCGAATCTATGATGATTTGTTTAATGAACTTATTCGTATAGTAAACGTTGAATGTTCCGAACGTGGTCAATTACTTCAAAGGGTTAAAGATGAGCATCAACAATGGATGAACACCTATGAGGAATTATATTCTAGTAGTATGGCCTATGGTATGAGACAATGTTTAAATAGAATGGAAGAAAACAAGAACTTAGAAATTAAGATTGAAATTTTAGAAGATGAATGCAAAAAATTACGTGACGAACTTGAAAAAGAATCGGTGAGATTTGAAAAAGTCACTGATAAATCAAGTAACAATATGCAAACCGAAGATTCTGAACTACGCATATTACGTAGTAATGTTAAATTTCTTCAATCAACCAATAACAAACTCAAAAGTGATCTTGACAATGTATTAAATGAAATTTTATCATCGACTATTTTTCTTGGAGAACCAATCGATCGCGAGAAAAAAACAGTAACATAAGACAAGATTGATGTTTTTATTTTTCAAATTAAACAGACAAAGATAAACGGAAAGAAAAACGTTAAAATTATAAGTTTATTTTTTCTTTTATTGCATAAATGGTATGGTCATTGGTGCAGGATTTTGCATGTAAGTTACGACCACAGCAGAAATTGAGAGCCTAAAAAAAGCGAATACAGATATTTCAAATTAATTTATTAAAATATTGTCAGTAAGTAATTAGTTTGTATTTAACTTAAGATGAATAAATTGAGATATTAAAACGAACGAAATGTCTATTTACAAGATTAAATCATAAATAGCTATTTCGAATTTTTCAGTCACCGGAATCAAAATTAGTAACTCTTCTATAGTTACGGGTTATGAAAGTTGTCACTAGTCGTTTTCTCTTGTACTTAATCTAATTCAATACATACATAAAACTACTAAGAACTTGTTTTGCATCATCTGAACTACGCGAATTTGCAAAACCAACCAGAGCTAAAGTAGAAAAATAATCAACGATTAGAAGAAAAAAAGAAATGTCATGTTTAAATAATTTTACCAGCAAATATGGCAACCCATGCACACCATTTAATCTAAACAAAAAGGTTTCGTCCAAAAAAAAACATCTTGTATTTCTTACAAGAACTTACTTTAAGCATTAATGAACACATTGAAAAGATCATACCCATTAAGTTCATATAATCCGGTAGTGCATCATCGACTTGTGTAATTAAAGCTGGTCGAAATCTTTGAGAAAAATGTATTACTATGATATCAATTACAAAAAAAAAAGACCATCAATACCTATGAACACGAACTGGACGACGGTTGTCCGACATCGTTTATTAGTTAATTGAACTTAAGAAAGAAATGAATCGATCGATACTGCGTTGCGCGGATTGTACAAATTTCATTGGTTACAATCAAATTTATCGAAACAGCTAGTTGATAGATGACGCTGCACATTTGCATTATAGCTTTACGTACAAGAATATTGAAACATATATTTTCTCGCTGGATGTGAAACGTTTCATCATTTGTTGTATTGGTAATATTCGTTCTAAACGTAAAATACGCTTGCCAGTACAATTGAGTATAATAAATATATAGATTTTTTTCTGCAAGATAATCCCATGATTATGAAAGAGAATTCATCAATTTCTGTAATCTTGTAAATGAGAATATATCGATTATGAGCAGTGTTTTAGTCATGTTTCTCGCCGTTAATGCGTACTTGAAAGCGGAGAAATGGCAATGAATGAATAGAACAACCGAAGTTCGCAGAAGAGTTAGTTTCAAAACGTTTCACATTTGATACTATTTTGTCTATGTCAAAGACTAGTCATCTCTTCGCTTAAACAAAATATATAAAAATTGGCTGAATAGTGATGCTAAAAGCTTACTCTTCAAGTCGCGATTATTAATTTACATATTAAATATTAGAGATTTGTTTTGATCTTCTTTAATACACATATACACATTGAAAAAATACCTCTAGACGATGGTATTATTCTTATTCAATGGGATCCTTTTTACTTTGTTTTCTGTGCGTAACTCTCTTTCTTCTGTCGTTTTCTAGATTTACCTTTCTATGTAAAATTGTAATTTGTGCTTTTTTTGCTACTACAAGGTTGTCTTCTATGCGACATAGACATGTCGTGTAAGCATAAATGATTAGATGGACGTGATTAAGGAGGCGAATCATGAACATTTCGTCTAGTTTATAAATGCAGTGTCAATGCATCATTTTCGAAAAATCTCATGGAATACTGAATTTACTAATACTGATATCATTACATTTGATCACCCATTGAATAACTACCTTCAGATGTAATCTCGTACTATTCAGCGCAGCTCTACTCAAATCATTCAATTCGAAAGTATTACATCTTTTTCTACAGAGTTGATATGTTCAAATTATAAATAATAACATATCTTTTTAACAATCCTTTCGTTTCTTGTTTGAATACAAATAGTACTCGATATAAACTAATCATAGAAAAATAACGTAAAATGCTGATACCTACAACATCATTATAATTCAGTGAATAAATATGATTGCATTTTTTTTTATACACGAATATTAGGGTGAAGGCTGTCTATAATTAAATAGCGGAGCGTTCGGGTCTATGATAGAACATGTCGAATAATGTATTTCTTTTTATCTCATTGACTATTGATTTTAATCACTGAACGCTGATCTTCATTCATTCCTTTTTGAAGAATTTCGATGATTTTTACGATAATTCGATCCAAAAAATCGACAACATTTAACAAGAATATTGGGTTAAAGGGTTTTCATTAACTATATAGATTTCAACAAGTTTGCGTATGATGTAAAAACGAGAAAAAAGATATACAATTTTTTTTTCATACGCGCAGCCAATATTATGCGTTCAATGTCATTTTCTTGTTCGCTTCAGTTATTAATCGAAAGACGAAAAATGTGTTCGTTATCTATCTTTCCTATGCGTTTTTGTATCACCAATGACTCTGCTGATATCAATATGATTGGCGAAATGTCACCAAGAAAAAAATGATTAAGCGATGAAAATTTTTGAAAATGTGTTCAATTGATATTTAAAATGAGAGCTATTAGGTCGAATTCAATATGGATAAATCTGACAAAATATCTATCGGACATTTAAGTTTCTTTTCAAAAATATGTTCTGTATAACTTATAAATTAGTGGCGTGCGTTCTACCCAAGGTTAACAATGTTTAATGAGACGAAGGCATTCATTTTTCAAGGCTTTTTACGTTTTTCTCTCTTTCGTATGTATTAGTTGTTAGAATTATAATAATTGATGATATCATTCACGATCAGTCAAAACTTATCTTGCGATAAGAAAATAATCAATAAAGAACCATGAAATTCTTTGATGAATGAAATCACAGAGAATTTTATTGAATAATCGTCTTCTTTTTTTATTTGCTGTTTTATTGGTTACGCATGAATAACCAAAAACAACTTTTCTATAGAATATCTTCTTCAAGGTATGTTTTGATTGTACAATGTCATTCACTCGAACATCATCCCGCACTTGTCTTGCGATCGACCGTGACAGCAGAAAAAAACCTACAATAAAACAATATAAGACAAGATACCGTTACATTTATTTGTTCAAACTATTACTAGTAGATAGTTAAAGATGTTTAAAAATAGTATCTGGAAAATTTTGTTAGCACTTGGAATTATTTTGGCATTTGTCGCTTTTATTCTTGGTATGTATTTGAAAAATGCAAGCCTTTCTCGAAGGAGAAACCGTAGAAGAAACATTAAATTTTCTTTTTTTTCAGGCTGGATCGGTTTTGGTGTACCTGATTGGCATAGCTTTAGACGTTACAATACTTCGTTTATGGAATATTATGGCCTATGGGCATATTGCCAAGATCAAAGTGTAACATATGGTACAGTTTGTCAACGCTGGCCAACTGCAGAAAATATATTATTTAATGGTACTCGTCCAAGTTTTATTCGTACAAGTGAAGGTCTTATAACGACTGGAATGATACTTCTTTCATTGAGCCTCGTTGCTGCAATAGTCTCTGCAGTATTACCTTATCTTGTTTATTTAGCTGGATTAATAGCAATTCTTAGTTTTATTTTTCTCGTTATTGGTGTGCCATTATTTGGTATACAATCAAATAATTTATCTATAACAGTCGGTAATGTATACTATAATAAACGTTACGGGTTTTGGCTTATGGTACCAACGATTGTACTCGAATTCTCTGCAGCATTTCTTTTTATACTTGCCGGTTTGGCTTATAAACTTTTTAGTTATGGTAATTTTTTCACAAGTTTTAGTGGCAGACCGTACGGTGGACAACAAAAGCTTGGACCCCCTCATGTATTAGCCGGAGCAACTCCAAGATATGCACCGTATGGATCATCCGCTCAATTGTTTACTAATGATCGTTTATTACCTGGTGTATATCCAAATCCATATGGAAGTACAATTCCACCCTTACTTTCACAGTATCTTAATCAACGTTTAGCACGAAACTATGAAAGTCTTGGAGTACCACCAATGAGTATGAATGTACTTCCACGCCCATCTGCTTTGTCAGCTATGAGACCAGCACCATCTTATCTTCGCGTTGGTGAACCATTAGGATCACGTTTTACGCCGATTGTAAATTTAAGTGGACAGACACTTGTGGGTCCTATTATGCGTACTGGTTAGATTTGGTTGTCTTCCAACGACAGTAAAATGCTCAGGATGACACTGATATTCAATACCTTTTTTTTAAATATCTAGATAAGCATGATATATTGTTTTCTTTTTGTAGTTATTTATATAAAGAATATGCATTATCCTATGTAAGAACAATCAGTAATAGTCATAAATTTCTAAACGCATGAATCTGTTTTCTTTCTTTTTTCGCTCAGTAAATAACACAATTATTATTCCTTTTTTTATGCTTGACAAAATGCAAAGCTAATTTTATTGACTTTCTGTTGTAGATAGTTAAATATTGTATATGAACTTGAAATTATAATAATGTCGTCTATGATGTATGAATATCATAGAAATCATTTTTTTTATTGTACAAGTCCTTCAATAGTCATTCTTGTTCTGAATTGTGAAAACGAAGAACAAAAAAGAAAAGAAAAGGTCACCAAACGATATATATATATTTAACTAACGGTATATGTAATCAGAAACAAAAAAATCTATATCGAAAAACAGGGAAGAAGAAGGTACCACATCACTATCCATTAGCAACATATATATCTGCTTCATCAAAGAATGGAAGTGGAAATTTGACGCATAGGTGTGCCTGTTTCATGAGCGTATGCTTAGAATATGAGGATCAACAAGAGTAAGATAAGAGAAAGGAAAGCAACTGACACAAACACTATTCTATTTCTAATGTCGTTCTCTTGTTTATTCACCTTCAGATATGTGCATTGCATTTAGCATCCTACGCTATTAGAAGAAGTCACTTTTCTGTGTAATGTAGCATGTCTATTGTGTTTTCTTTTTTCTTCTTCTTCTTCTATTGATATTGATGAGTTTTAGACTTCTCTTCTAATTTTCTTACATTAGCCGTTAGATTTCAATGAAATAATGTGGAGAAAAAAAGCTTTTGCAATGATAAAAACAGAATTTTTTTCGGTTGAATACAACAGACAAGAATATGTCATACAGCTCTCTTCATTATCTATTCGATTAATATATAGATTAACTATAAATATCAAGTATTTTTATATATTGAGATAGTCCCGTTAATATCCATACAATTATTGTCAATGTCATTTATGACATTTTTATTTATTCTTAGTAAATATCCTATCAAAGGTTGATTTCAGTATTTGGTATTCGTCTTATGATTAGTTCTTTTTTTGCACTTTATTTTTCATCAACTGTCATTGAACATGGCACATACATTGTTTATTCGAAATTCATTTTTATGAGATAGAAATGTTCTTTATTAGTCACGACAATCATAATGACTCTTTTCTTCTCCCTTCCCATATAATTGTCACACGATCTATTTCAAGATTATCATTTGCACATATCGATAGAAATTCTATCGTACCAAAATACGATAGTACATGATTAGAAAAACTAAACGAAACACTTGAGAAAGGCAACCGTTAGTTTTTTGATTTGTATAATCGATTTTATTCATTTTTCCTTTCGTCAATAAATTATTTCTGTCTTCAGGGATTAAGTTCATGTCAAGAAACAATAGACACACAGCAATGGATGATATATTCTATATTTCTACTTAACGCATCATTCCTGTCTTATCTTGACACTTTATTTATTGGCAAGTTTAAGGAGTTGGAATTTCTAGAAGATTTCGGTGTACTTGACAAATGTGATTGTCGAAAAACAAGAACTTTGGCATGAATTTTATTTTTATCAAATGTACTCACTGTTATCCTAAACATCTTTCAAACAAAAAAAAGAATATCTCTTTTTGATTTTTGCATCTGTCTGTTGTCCTTAGGCAGTATGGAATATATAATCGAGAATGATGAGGAATACAAATGAATTTTTTCGGACAGAAAATAGTCTCGATAAATGAATTTATCAGCTGTTTTTGTTATTCTATTGTACGCTCGAATGCTAAGTTGTTTAGTATGTCACGACTGAACAGTTGTGCAAGATAGCCGACAAAATTGAGTATGGCAAAAAAATATCTATCTATCTATCTATCCATATTTTGTCTTTTTGTATTCCGAGTATCGGCTTTCTTCGTTTCGAGTCTTGCCGATAGAGATAGAAATAGGATTAGCTCGCAAGTGTCTACATGAGCACGCCAACGTTCGCTTTGGTTAGCAAGTGTTGTTAATGAAATCTCATTTTTCAAGTTCTTCTTTTTTTCTCTTTCTCTTATTTTTCTCTTAAAAAGAAAATGATCACCCTTTATGCTCTTTCTCCCTCTTGTTTGTACTGGAATGAAGAAGAAGAAGAAGAAGAAGAAGAAGAAGAAGAAGAAAAACCATATAGAAGATGATTTACTGATGCTTGAATATATCTGCTGCCATAGGCAAATCTCCTTGACTCTGGCTAGGCACGACCAATGATGGAGTATATTGGGCAACGACACGTTATCACGTATCTTTTTTTCTAACCGTCCAGCTAAGTAGAAACTGCGAATAGGAAATTTTCAGTATACATGCAATAGTTAATCATCAGAAAAAAAATATTACTAAACTGAGAGTGTAAATAACAACTCTTCGGAACACGAGGGAAAAATAAATTTTTCTGTTCGAATTTCTCTTTTTTAAATTTTTTTGCGTCTCTCTCTCTCTCTCTCTCTCTGTGTCTATTATCCGACTCAACGAACGAAACATTGATGTTGAGATAAAGATTTTCACATTTCAAAGTCGTCTTATATCAGTTGCTTCTAAATCCTAGGTTATCATTTGTGTTTATTTAAGTTTTTCTTTTTTTAGAAAAGAAAAGAAAACTATGTTAATTACTACAAGCCATTTGGTTTCATCCGATGTTAATAATAATAAAACAAGATACTTAATACAAGCCAATAGTAATTATAACAATTATTCAGGGTTTTCTCAAGAATTTGAACCTATATGGATTAGTTTATCATTAATTAGTAGTAAGTAAAGAGAGAGAGAAAAAAGCGATATAATGGCTTGAAATAGCCCGAGTACATTTTTAAAGGTATTCGCATTATTTCATGTGAACCATAATCAGCACTCAGCTAATTATAGATGTTGATAGTAGTAAAGGATCTTGCGTCTTTTCATGTAAAAATAATTAATGATTCTGAATACCAAAAATAAAATAAAATCAAGAATAAAGAAAAAAATGTCACACGCAAAGGTCCTCGTTGTGGAAGAAAGTTTCTGTTATTGAAATGATTAAATAAATGAAGATCAATTTTTGAGTTTTATCTAGTAATTGAAATAGGTTCTCTCTTAAGTATATCAAAATTAAAATTCTATTTATAGATTAACACGGCTAAAGTTTTAAGTTGAATATTTTTCTAGACAGATAAATTTTGTTTACGTTTTGTAGTAAAAGATCTGAATCGGAAGTAACACTCAGAATGTGTAAGCTTCATCACAGATCAAGAAAAGATGTAAACAGTCTTTATTTATTATCATCAACGAATGGAATAAAAGAAAAACAAATCAAGTTTAGCTATTTGATATGATTTTTCAAAAGCATTTATAAAGATTTTTAGCATTTGTAAACAGATGTCTAAAACTTAGAAAGAAACAAATCAATCTTGCTTTTCGAAACTAATAGAAATCATTTTTCTATATTCATATTTAAGCAGAATCTGATTTTTAATTTCATCTCTCTAGTTATCATATTTACTGTTGGTGGCAATAGTCTTGTTTGTATTGCTGTTGTGCGTGAACGACATTTACAAAATACAACAAATTATTTTCTAACATCTCTTGCATTTACTGATTGTCTTGTTGCTTGTCTTGTCATGCCGTTAGCTGTTACTGTTGAATTTCTTGGACGTTTTCCACTTGATGCATTAGCTTGTAATGTTTGGTCAACATTCGATGTTTGTTGTTGTACATCATCCATTTGGCACATGAGGTGATATAGAGAACTGTTGTTCGTCTTTTTATTATCTAACATTATGTTTTCTTTTGATCTTAGTGTTATGTCACTTGACCGGTACCTTACATTGAGATATCCATTAAAATATGGACGAAATAAACGTCGAAGTTTAATGGCATATAAAATTATAACGATTTGGTTGATATCATTTGCTATATGTTTACCATTATTTATTCTGAGTATTGTTGATTCGACAAATGTTTATGATGAAAAAAATCGAGCTTGTTTTCCATCGAATCGAGCATTTAAAATCTATGGTTCATGTGTTGCTTTTTTTATTCCATTAATCATAATGATTGTTACATATGCACTAACAATGAGTGCACTACGACAAGCACATACAACAAAAAAGAAACGCTATAAAGGACAAAAGAATATCCATGCTGTTATTAGTATTGCTGCAATGGCAGTTCGATGGAAACGAGCTGTTAATACTGTTGAAATATCTGTCGAAAAGTCTCCATCCATTATACCTGAACCAGAAACGCAAACAGGTTATACGAAAAGTCCAATAAATTATGAAAGGAAACGTGCGTCATCCTTACGTACAAATGAACATCCACAGAAACCTATATTTACATCGAGTCAACGTTTGAATGATTCTATCAAATCGTCATCACCTATTGCTTGGCGCAAAAAACGCGACGAAAAGCAAACACTGTCACCAGCAAAAACTAGTAAGAGGAAGAAGAAGAAAAGAGAACATCGGAAAGTGATATATTTTATATACTTATTGGAATCTTTCTTGAAAAACAAATATTTTCCATTAGAAATCAAAAACAATTAGTTCTGTTCTTCTTCTTCTTTTCTATTTCAGCAAAACAATCATCAGATCAACATTTAAACCCCGATTGCTCAAACCATCTACAAACAGCTGCAAAACGTTCCCATTCTTGTACGCCATTGCTCGACGTTGAAAATAGTCGTCATTATCAACGAAGAAGTTCGTCTAGTCATACTCTTTTGCAGATTCGTCGTGATTCAGCTAAAATAACAGAAGAATTAGCTAATCTAGCTGCTCAGTTAGCTGCATCAATGACTAATGATGGCTCAACAAGTAAACGACCTTCACTTTCTGTGCCAGGCACATCAGGAGCCAATGAAAATGGTACACCAACAATCGATCAATTACTTGCAGAAACAAGTGTTAATCAGCCTATTATCATTTCTACATCACTTCTACCAATTGGTCAAAAACGACGTGAGCGATCGTAAGTCAATTGATATCTAAATTATATCAATATAAAATTTCCATTCTGTTCTTTTCCTCATTCAAGACATAGTGCTGATATTCGATTGCCAACAATCAATACCGACAACGACAATGCAATTGGCATTAATCAACCTATTCCAAATCTTCTTGTAACACATGAAAGTATTTCAGCCATTCCAACGAAAAATCTTGAAGAAACAAGACCGTCATTACAATTTGATAAAAAATGTCAACGTATCAAAGACTGGATTGCAGTAACAACATCATCTACCACTCTTCATATGAATCCTCATGTACCCATAGCTACACGTTGTAAATCAGCGATTAATATAACTGACAATACACCGATGTTAACTGCTAATCAACAAGATGTTCGACAATTATCTAATATTAAACGATACTTTCCACATATGGAACAATTATATGGACAAACGACAGCACCAAATACAGTTGTACGACCACAACAACTTTTACTTGTTGATGATCAAGTTTCTTCTGCTCAAAATTTCGCTTCACCACAACGTAGCAGTGTTTCTTCGGTGGCGTCATCAATGTTACGAATTCGTCTCCTTCGAAATCAACGGCCGAGTACAACATCTTCGATGGGTTCGTCATCGCATCAAGGTACCAGACGTAAACACCCGCCACGTTTCATAGATGGAATGTCACAAACGAGTTTCAATATGGTTTCATTGGATACGGATGATTCATCATCGTGTACATCAAGTCTTACTCAACATTCAGCTACTGTACAATCGATAAAAACAGGAACGACTAGTTCCATGTCATCATCGTCAAGAAAACGAAAACACCAACGATTTAAAGACTTATCGAAAAGTTCCGTTGGTAATGAACGGAAAGCGATGCGTGTATTACTTATTATTTTTTCGATATTTGTTATATTATGGACACCATTTTTTATTATCAATCTTCTATCTTGTTTTACCGATGACATTCATCCGATATTAATGTCTGTGGCAACATGGCTTGGCTATTGTTCATCATGTGCAAATCCCATTATTTATACGATATTCAGTCGTGCTTTTCGTCGAGCATTTGTTAATATACTGACATGTCGAAAAGTAATTCGTTCGCGTCATTCATCACGTCATTCAATGGCTGTGTCAATCGGACGAAAATATCCGTCAATCTCTAAAGGACCAGGCGATCAACATTAAAAAGAAAACGATTTCTATGTCTTGTGTTAAAAAGTATCTTTCTATACATTGGAAATTTCTTTTTAAAAAGCTGTCAGATTTATATAATTAACGATGTTTACAAAAAAAAACAGAAGCTTCATGTGAATCCAAGCAAACAAATTGATAGAAGATTTTTTTTCGTGAAAAATCTTTGTTAAATAATTTATGCAAAGAAGGGCAAAAAAAACAGATTTGTATATTGAATAAGTAGATTTTAATTTGTGTCTATAAACTAAAAGAAACAGCATGAATATGTTTTATTTTTCATATCCTAGAATGAACTTGTTATAATGTTTTTGCTAAGATAATCAACGTGCGTACATGGTAATTACATATCTATAATTGATAAAAAAAAAAAGCTATTTAAGCTCGTAAATATCTTTCATTAGTATATGCATCGTTGAAATAGCATCAAGTAATTTAAGTAATTTACATCGGATAACAAGATGGTAACGTGGATGGTTTTCAATTCATCTTTGTTGTTGTAAAAAGTCTACCTATTCGACAATCGACGACCTCTACCGAGTTTGGCAGCATGCTTTTTAAAATCATCAAAAGGCTCATTTCCTCTACTTATTTGTTTATTACTGACTGAACTTCTGTTTTTCAAAGAAATATGAAGTCGATCGTACGATTGACAGTGCTTCAAAACAGAAGAAAGAAAAATATTTGTTACCTTCTTGTTCTTTTTCGGATTCAGAAAGCTTTTTCAGTTGAATGCATCATTGATCAAGTTTTAAGAAACAGAAGAAGAAAAAAATGTCTGTCAATACACACTCTTTTCTTTTCTATTCTATTCTTCGAATAGATAAAAACAAGCTGCTACTGATTGTTGTCATTAGATTCTATTTTCATAGAGATGAATATCAATAAAAATCATCCGAATACAGTTAATTTAAATCAATTAATCACTAACATTCCGATACGAAGAAAAATCGTCGATCAAAATGATCGAGATAAATTCGAATGGAATCAAGTATGTATTAGAGTTTTTGACTTTGACAAGAATATTAATGAGAAATTTCTATGCTTTCTATCTAGTGGCAAAGTGCTACCAAAGCAGTTAATAATATTGAAGCGGCACCAAAAGAAAAACATATTCGAAGTAGAAAATAAACGCTGGCTTTTGTCTTGTTTTTGTTATGTAATGAAATTTTATTTTTAGATCTTATCCTTGGTACATTTCGATTGGAAGGTTCTCGTTTGTTTTGGTCAATGATGATTAGAGTCAATATTGGTTCACATCCAGTTACTTCATGGAAATTTTGCTATGTTATTCATCGACTTTTAAGAGACGGGCATAAACATGTAGGTTGTTAATAATAGGTTTTCTTCCGTTAAGGAAGAATATGAAAGTTTCGTCTTTAATTGTGCAGTTTTGTTGATTTAGGTTATTCAAGATTCGATTGTATTAGCAATTTATTTCGATCAGTTAAGTCAATTTTGGGTAAGCTTATCTCATCGCCTATTTAAACATCCTACAAACCTTGACGAATGAATAATTGAAATATCTTCACGTCTGTTCATTGGCATGAGCTGATTGTTTTGATTGGCTACAGAATTTTATTCAACATTATTGTTTTCTTTCATACTTACGGTGTCAACAAAAATTACTATTGTTGACCTTATAAAAGAAACTTTGTATGTTGTCAAGTAAAAGAAATACATCTATAGCACTTGAGAGAAGCAAAAAGGAACAAACTTAATCAAATATACAGATTGATGGACACGAAATGAAGATATTTCAATTTTTTATCGTATTATTATTTACAAATAGTATTAAATTTTGTATATCTAGAGTGGTGTACAACAAGGTTATGGTCTACTTTCATATCGTTATTGTAATTTATTAATATCAAAATTTAAATTTCATGAACGAAATCCAATATTTGCAGGAAATTTAACAATTAATGAACAAAATAATGATATTCGACGAATATTTGACGATAATTTTAATTTGTATTTTCAATTATGTATTGAATTATTTGATTATATGGAAGAAATCTTAAATCTTGTTCAAGTTATATTTACTTCACTCGATCAATCACGTTTAAATTCAATGACAGCAGCTGGTCAATGTCGTCTTAATCCAATTATTATTTGTATACAAGATTCAAGTCTTCTTTATGATTATATTGTCAAAGTTCTGTTTAAATTGCATGAAGGTAAACGAATTGTATACTGATACGGACTTTTATTTTCCTATTCGAATTATTTAGGTTTATCTAGTGACATATTACAAGATCGTAGAAGAAGATTAGCTGATCAATTTCGTAGATTAAAACGTTTCTATGGTCAATCATCAACATTACAATATTTTAAAAGTCTTATTAAAATTCCTATGTTACCTGAAGTAAATAAATAATTCCACCTGTTAGTTTTCTCATCATCTAATTTTTGTTTCTGTATAGAATCCTCCAGATTTCAATGCCAAAGAAGATTTAACAAATTATCAAGCTCCTGTTGCTATTGTCAATACATCAGCATCTGATTCATCGTCAGTGATTGAAGATCTTCTTATTGATATATCCGATAATGTAGGGAACGTTAAAAAATAATTATCATCGAATGAAACTCATAATTTAGACTAAATCAACAGCAACAACTACAGTCACTGATGGTTTATTCGATAGCGCAACTATATCTAATCGGTTCGTTGAACTTCTCGTATCTACACAACTTTGATAAAAAAAAATACATTTCCTAATAGATCACAAAACATGCCGGATTTTGAACAAAGATTCATCCAGGTAAATACTATGCTGGATCAAACTCGTTCTGAAACTGATGATTTACATCGAACTATTGCTGCTAAAGATGCGGAATTAATGGATGAAAGAAATGTAATTTTTGCAGTTTTCACACAAAATTCTTCTTTTCATCAATCATTCTTTTTAAGCATCGGTTACGAATCGAAGAACAACTTCGTCAGCAATTGTCAAGTCAAAAATCTATCGAAGAAATTCATGCACTCGATAGTGCGTATAGTGAAATTTACTCTTTGAACAGCCAAAAAAAAACAAATTTATTTATATTTAGATAAAACAAGTGCGAATGAAAAATTTGACAAATTACTAGAGACGTACAATCAATTACGCGAAGAGCATTTCGTTGTATTACGTCGAGTATAAACTTCCATTCTTGTGCTTTTCAAGAGAAAACAATTATTTTTACTATAGGAAAATGAAAGTAAAAAGGAATTAACTGATTTTAATCAACAATTCACAAAATTAAAAGAAGACTCTACCGTAGAACCCTTGATTTTTTTCTATCATTTATTTACTTTTAATTTTAGAAAAAAGAGAATGAATTCAATCAAAACTATGAAAAATTGAATAATGAAATTTTTCAATTACGTCAAACAAATGATGTAAGTGAAGCAATCGCAGTACATATGGCAATTTCATCAAATATCTGAGAACAATTTTAAGAGTTAGGCGAAAAGGTAGACTTTTGTTTTGTTTAATTTAGGAATTACAAGATAGAATTCAAATACTCACAACTGAACGTAATGATTTTCAATCCATAACAATAAAAACTAATGAACGCATAAGAGAAATAGAACATGCTAAACAAGCAAGAGAATACGAGTCGTTTTTTGTAAAGTATTTTGTATTCATATCAATATTTAGAGTTTTGAGGAACGTTTAAAAGAATTAGAAGACGATAAATCACGTCTACATAGTGATAAATTTACTTTTGAACAAAAGCTAAAAGACGCCGAAGGAGAACGAAGTGGTTTATTTCATCGAAATCGAGTAAATTGTTTTTTTCTTCTACTTCCAATAAAAAGATACGCTTGATATATTTTAACATAGGAACAAGAAGAAAATCTTATTGATTTAATACATGAGAGAGAGGTTCTTGAACAAAAAGTTATCGATTTAGAAGAAACAATACGTGAATGGGCACAAAAATTTATTGATATATCCGATAAACAAAAATTAATGCAAGCTAATCATGAAAATCTTTTGAAAAATTTAAAACGACAATATAAATGTAAAGGAAAACTAAAACAAAAGCAAGTCTATTGATGTTATTTTCTTCTTTAAGATTCTATTTTAACATATTGCATCAATCAAATGCATGATGGTATCGATCAAACGAACGATATCGACTTATTTAATTCTAAACGAAGTAAAGAATATCTTCTATCGCAATTACAAATAGCTGCTACACGTACAAAAACAATTCACGATCTGTGGCAACGGCAAAAGGATTCCGATGAAAGTTAGTTCATTTTTTCAAGATAACTCTGCCTCCGTAAAAGTGCAAATGGTAGCGACTTTTCGAATTTTATTTAAAATGAGAAATTAGAAACATTAAGAATATGATCAATAATGAATTACTCTTTATGCATTTCTCACTGATCTAAAGAATAGACCATTTTTATTTTTAGGTGATACCATTTCATTCTTAAATGAGTGCATCGCATTAGCAAACACTATGGCTGATATCATTTTACATGGAAAAGCAATAGCAAATCTTGTTCAAGATATTAATTATCGTGATGTAGTATTATATTGTATTGATCTTTATACCAATTATCAAACATGTTCGTAATCTAATGATTTCCTACTGAAAAACTCTAAAGTGCTTGTTATTTTAGTATCAACGCCAAATGATATCGATCAACAATCGGATCAATTACTTCATCGTTTGAGTTCATTAATTGAAAAACTAAAAACAGTTTCCGTATAAATCCTCAACTTGTTTATATTAATTCTGTATATATGCATGCACTGCTTCTCTTTGTTTTGTTGAACTATAAACCGGTGAAATAAACATATGAAGGAGTGAATTTTAAAAACTTAGGTACCGATGTGGCATTATTATTCTATATAGTTATTGCATTTTTTTTATAATGGGATTTTCGGTATTTTTCTTTAGATATATGTCTAATAAATTACGAAAGATCGAAATGAATGCATGAAAGCCTTAAAACTATACACTGAACCAATAGTGATTCATCCTAAAATTTAGGTAATACAAAACAACAGTAATCATTTTAGTTTCGATGAGATGCGTATTATATCAGCTTCAATATTGATAAGATCTGCATCTTGAGAGGAGAGTGTTTGCCGATAAATAGTTGCTGATTTTTGAAAATACTCTAATGCTTGATTCAATTGACCTTTATCTTCGAGCCCTAGTCCTATGTTTCTATAGCAGTTGCCAATATGTGGATGATCAGAAGGCATTGACTTTAATCTAATACTAAGTGATTGATTGTAATGTTTCAAGGCCAGATCATAATGACCAAGACGATGATGATTGCTACCTATGTTATTGTGAGACATACCTATATCAGGATGATTGGAAGGTAAATGTTGTTTTCTGATCGTCAATGCCTTTTTATTGAAATTTAAAGCTTCCACATCGTCGCCCTTCTTTTCGTAGGTAGTAGCAATATTATTACAAAAATGAGCCATTTTCGAATGATCAATGTTGTCGCCGTTCTCGAGAAGTTTAATACCTTTATTAAACCAAACAAGTGCGATATCATATTCATTTTTCATTCTATAAATAGTTCCAATAGCATTGTAACGCATGCTAATTTTTTGATAGTCCTTCGGAGACGACTGTACTATTAGTTTTAGTGATTTATGTAAATATTCAAGACTTGAATCTAATTCTTTTTTCTCTTTGAGCACTAAACCGAGTGAATAATACAATGAAACACGTGACGGATCATCAGGGGCAAGTTCGTTCAATGATCGACGATAGAATTTCTCGGCTAAATCAAATTTACCCATGCGACGCAGTACTTGGCCGAAATTGAGAAGACTCGTTTCATTCTCACCACCACCATATTGTTCCTTCATATATTGAAATAGATTTGTTAAATCATGTTGATCATTGCTACACATCGTAAGTTGAATTATCCAATACTTATCATGTTGTCTACGAATACTTTTCAAATGAAAAATGGAACCAATCATAAACAGGACTTCTGATTCGTTTTCAAAATCACTAAATGAACTTATGTTAGCAAATGGTTTTGTTGCTCCCGTGCTAGGATCAGCATCGATTATAAATAGTACTCGTTGTAAACCATTCGAGAGATTATGACTATTCAGAAATGCTAACGCTTGTTTACGATCAGTCGTAGTTGAAAAAAACGAATTAATTGAAATTAGTTCTCCAATCGATTCTCGAAGACTTTTCAATTCATCGTTTGATAAGATTTGGCCACGATATGCACGTATTGTTGATTGACATTGAGATTGTTCTAATGCTCGATAAATATCACGCATGAAAAAACGAAAAATAAATAATATATCAATGCTTTGTACACGTAATGCTTTATTGAGAATTTTGTACAAGAATGACTCACGAGTATACCACCATAAGGCTTTTTCTGGCGTATAAGCATTATTGAAATCGCGAAGAACATTTAGTTGAGTTTTGTTACCCTTGTACACTTTTTTACAGAGTTCAATGAGTTCAGTTTTGTCTGTTTTAGCAGGTGTCATTCGAAGTAAAACATCAACGAGCAATAAAGAATGTACGAAAGTACCATTCAGACCCGTAGTTGATAGATCTGGATTTTGATTGGCAGTAAAAATATTAATCACTATTGGATCTTCTTCTTTTATTCGGTTTTTCTGATCACGCTTGATTCGATCGATAAGATGGTCAATATCTACAGTAACAGCCATCACCTTTATAAAACAAAACAAAAAAGCGAATTAATGATAACAAAAAACAGAAGATAGTGTAATACTTTAGTGAAGTTTTTTGCCCATTCTTCATTTTTCTGTTTATCAATACAATAAACATAGATAGATGATAATTGTCGAAGATCATGAATACGAGGTACGACTTCTTGGCCTAATCGACCACTGACAATAAGAATAATTCGATCGTATATTGAAATCGATTGAATATATTGTTGACAAAGATTTCCATCTTCAAATGTTGTCACATGATTGATTGTGGAACGAAGTTGTTGTTGTGCTATTCGATTTTCTTCGCTAATATTGACTTCGGCATCAAGCCACAAAAGATAAAATGTTTCTAAGTTTTCGTCATGCATATTGGAACTAGTTTTACACACTGCACTGGTAGTCATTTCTTGTTTTATCTTCACAGGTGGTACTTTTTATATGCGTATTTCACTACTTCTGTTGGCAGGAAAAAAAACAGAAATTTTAATTTTCGCATTCTCTGAAGCGTTGATTCATTTTTGTATTTTAGGAAAGAAAATGGAGTTGAGTAGACAGAACGAACAAAAGAACCTCGCCCTGATCATGACAATCTATTTTCCTTTTTACCTTCAGGACTTCTGTAGAAAAAAACAAAAAACAATACTCCCGATACCACTTAGACTATTCTTCTTACGAGTAACTTGAACGCAAAGTTTGTGAGTGAATGAAAGTATCTTTACATGTTGCATGAGAACTGTGAATAAGAGACGACAACTTTCAAACCATTCATTTCTCTTCTATCGTGTTTTTTATGCAGTGCGAAGAACAGTATTCCCATAATCCGTTACAGACGCATCCAAAGTCTGCATTTTTATGCAATCAAATTTCGATTCGAGTGAAATTTGAATCCCATCTAATAATTAGCTTTTTTCGGTGATAGCTTACTAAACTATTGTTGTGGTTACACAATAGTAATTGTGTGATCAATCACTCATATAGCATATTGTTCTCTCTCAAGCGTATTTAAATTCTATATTTTGTAGAAAGTCGAGCTTAAATAATTATGTAGAAATGTATAATAGTACAGCGCATGTCCGTAATTCGAACAGCTTTTCACACACCTTCAGAGTTTCGTCTTTTTTCTAAAACTTTTCTAAAGAAACATATCGATTTTTTTACATTTTTGAATAGAGAAATGTTTTCTCTATTCAATGATGTAAAAATTATTTCTATAGCTTAAAGATCGGCTGAGTAATTAGCGGTAGCTTTGAAAAGATTGAATTTGTCCGAATTAGGAGCGCTGTTCTCAATAAGAACACCAAGCCAAAAAATGTTCCTAATACGAACAGTCAGCGAAGAACAAGCAAAAATTCTAAAAAAATACTAATCAGCAAATTTCATTATCAAAACCTGAATTTTTTTTATCACTTCTATGAGAAAAAATGTTCATCATGATTTCAGACATTAAAATCCAGCAGTTCAAATTTTTCGAATTCATAGTAACCAACATATTCAATTTAAAAAAACTACTTAGCCGTTCGAATTAAGAACACTGTTCCTAATCAAAACAGTCAACAGAAAAATGTTCCTAAAACGAACATACAACTTTAAATACACATAAAATTAAATATTATTAGTAAATGAAGATTTTCTATACTTAAAATAGATATTTTTTTTGAACTTCCAACACAAAAAAAACTCCTTTACTATAGATGTGTTATAATCCAGCGGTTCAGCTCAATC